TTGTGTGTGTGTGTGTGTGTGTGTGCGCGCGCGCGCGCGCGTTGTGTCATTGAAAGGCATTCTCGTCCGTTCTTACTTTGCGTTCTATATTTCTTTGCTTTATGTAAAGTTTAAATTTCTCCCCCTCCCCAGTTAACCAGCCTCTGTCTGCTTCGCATGGAGCGCCTCAAGGGGGTGGTGGCGTCCTACATACACTGGTTTTTCTGGCTCGTCAGTTTCCTGGCAACCATCGTGCCGTTCTACAGCAATGTTAAAGAGAGTGTAAGTGCTGCTGAATCTTTTCTAAGACTCAGCGATCTAAGTAATAAATATATAGCATTTGTATAGGTCAAATTCCCGCTCAATAGCAAGTTCTATGCGATTTGCAAGATAGATTTTTATCCCAGCAGACTTGACAGCTTTCTGAAACAATCTCAATTCCCTTTGGAAGCATGCAATGCAAGCTACCGTTTAATCTGATAAAAGATTCGCTGTTTTCTTTTATATGTGGAGTGTAAAACAGCCACTTGTAGGAAACCTCGTCCAAAAGTTTAAAAGATAACACAATCCCATTGTTTGTATAGAGTAAGACGTTCTACCAAAAGGTATAGCATATTCGAATCACTCAATTTTTCCATCGTTTCAAAAGTTGCCTTAAAGAAATAATAACTCCTTCCCGATCTATCACAAAAGAACTTCTTATTGAGTTAGCTATATTTCTACACTGTTTCTACCGTTGGAGTTTGGTTTTTTAAAATAAATTTTGGTACAAAGTCTTTCGAAACGTCCCTGCGAACGCCTGGAGAGGCGAGGCGTTCTGAGAGCGTGATTTCTGTCTTATCAAGCTTCTCTAACGAACTGATTCCACCCCCTCCCCCCATCACCCCACACCCACCCCTCCCACCACCCAGGCGGGGAACTCATCGATATCGCTTCCTCTGTGTTCCAGAGAGACGACTTCGACAATTTTGGCTACGTCACTGACTTCATCTACTTCGTGCTCCTGTTGTTACAACTCTTGATCTCTTCAGTGGCTGAGAAGAGGCCGGTCGACTACAGGGATCTCAGTGAGGAAGTAGAGGTTAGTAATTAAACTTGAATTGGATTACTTTATTGATGGTGTGAACACACTTTGATTAACTCATTGATGCCGAAGTGGACACAAATTATGTCCGGTCAGCAGTGTATCAAAAGAAGGGCTACGACATATGATGAACCTGCATTTCTAAATCAGAAATGAAAATGTTTATATTTAATACATTGTAGTAATTGTTGTATGCTTGTTGTTGCCTGACTTTTTAAAATATTCAATTAAATAAAACAGAATTTACAAATCTGTATTAATGTGGGAGTTAAGCGTCTTTTAATTGCCTCAAAATAGCACGTCATGGGGCGTTGTCAAATTACTAGACTGCGTGTCCTGTATGAGTTAAGATAGACAAGTGTACGGGTCCATGCAGATGTGCACGCTCTCGCACAGACTCATGCCGGATGCCCATTGCGGATGGGATCGGATCGGATCGGGTCCGGTCGGGTCGGGATGATCGCCCGACTCGTCGCCTGAAAACGAATGTGTCACGACGTGGTGGAATCATGCGCTCGTCAATTTTAGGGCATACTGTTTTATTGGTTTCATCATAAAGCTTGTTCATTTGTCTTGCTTTAAATTATAAGAATACCCATCTATCTTCAATGGAAGTCAAGATATTTGCGATTGAAGGAGGTGGGCGTTGACTGGTTTTAGAGGTAATTTTAACAAGAAATGACCACAAAAGTTGAAATCGTAGATTTACATTATTTGTTCCTTTAATCAAGGTTTTCCGTGAAATACACACAGCAATGTATTTTAATGGTCATAAAAGAAGTTGAGCCAAAACATAAAAATTCAATAAAAAATGACAAACACCGTTTTCTTCACTTCATTATTTTGACGAGCGCCTGATTGCACCATAATGCCTCACAAATGCGTTTGTTTTTCAAGCAACGAGTCGGGCTCAATTTGCCTAGCAAACCGACCCGACACGACACGACCCGACACGACACGATCCCCCAATGGGCACCCCGTAACACGCTCATTATGATATACGCACCCTGAGATACATGAAGGAGTTGGTGCAAGAATAGACATTCGTAAACGAGAACAAATACTAGTACATAAACACGCGTACATAACCACATACATTATGTACACACACGCAGAAACATACCAACACATAACCGAATACTGTCTGAAGAAAAATAAGTGGGAGAAACGAGAGCTTTTTTTAATGTTTTTTTCTTGAACTGAAATAATGAGAGATGTACTTCCAGGTTTTATATTACATGCATATGGTTTTAGTTTCCTGTTATTTCTTTCCATTTTTCTTATCATATCGGTGTTCTTATTTTAATAGCTGCTAAAGAAGACGCTGTAGTTTCTTTGTGTGTGTGTGTGTTTTCTTTCAGTACCCTAGTCCAGAGCTGACGGCCTCAGTGCCCAGTCTTTTGACCTTTTGGTGGATCGTTCCGTGAGTATAATATTATGACTGGAGATTTGATGTGCTAAGGTGAAATAACTTATATGTATGTATGAGTGTTTGTGAGTGTTTGAGCGTTTGTATCTGTATGTCTGTGTGTGAGAGAAGGTGTGTCTGTATCCATAAATACATACATAGAAATATTTTTCTCTCTCTCTCTCTCTCTCTCTCTCTCTCTCTCTCTCTCTCTCT